ATGCGGGGCTCAATCCCAGGACCCTGGGATCATGACCTGAGCCGAAGGCAGATGCTTAATGACTGAGCCACCCAGGCGCCCCTACGTTGTCATTTTTTTAAGGGACCATTGGACTACTGTATAAATTTAAAATACATATAGGATCTCAGTGATCTTATTCGTCCTATAATGAAACATTTTGCTCTTTCATCATCCTAGGAATTATTTTTTTGTTAGTTATCATTACTTTTCAGTTACTCTCAACTGTGGTTAAAAAGACTGAAAGAGTGTCAAATGTAAGATGATGGAATTGCCATAAGGATGAAGCAGTAGTGAAATTGTCATCTTTCAGTTTCTTTATTGGGTTGTGCACTGTATTCCATCATCTTTAAGAAGGAATAAAGAAGACTGGAAGCACTATCATTTTATTCTACTTTCAGCTTTTGTTTAACACACTGAGAATTCAGAACTTCATTTTCTGCCCTAATTGGCAGAGAAGAAAATTGACAAGAGGAAGAAGTTTCATAATTTTTACCTGAATCAGAAGATGGATGCTCTCAGACAAACTGAGAGCAGCATTCTAGGCCCTGATAATGATGGTGAAATTGTCTAAGTGAAATCTGTTTCTGAGTCGTCAGATGATGATATCTTAGTTGAATTGTCTCAAACTCAAGAATGGATGAGTGGACAACATATTCCTAAGGACAAAGAGGAAATAATACTATTCTAGTTAGTCATTCATCAGAATGGCCTTCACCATGTAGTTATTTTGTGCAAAAACTTGGACCATCCTATTTGTTGAAAGAGCATGTGACATCTTTTATACACCAAAATTTTTTGATCCAAAAAGTCTGTGCTGTTGAAATTTTAAAAAATTTTAATTAAGTTGTTTTTCACTATCCCTTTATATCTGTAAAATTTTTATAATGTTTCTTAAAACACGTATTAGCAAATAAGGGTTGTTTAGATTTTTACCAGATCATAATTGATGACACTTGTTTTCTCTTTTATCTGAAGCTAATAAATTTAATACTTGGGCTTAAGAACTTCTACTTTAAATAATTAGTACCATTTATTCATATACCGAGTACTTAATATTCTCAAATACTGTTCCTGGATTCTGGGATAGAGTAGTGAACACAGTGAATTTCTGGCTCTTAGGGAGTATACATTCTAGTGGGAGCAGACAGATAATAGACAAACAGTATGCCAGGGGATTATAAGAGCTGTGAAGAAGAAAATCAGTGAGGAGAATAGAGATTATCTAGTTAAACAGAATGCTTAAATAATGTTTTATTTATTGCAAAGTGATTAAGGTAACTGAAATGAGACATTGAAGAGATGAAATACTGTATTTTCTAATGGAAGATTTGTTAATAGTATTTATTTTATCTCATTTTAACTTTTTAAAATGATGTGATAGATACATTTTAGTATTTTTGAAAAAGTATAAGGGAGCTGTTTACAACAGTAAATTGAGACCTTAAAAAAACTTTTTTTCTAGGGTTTTTTACATGGAATATTTGACCGTCTGAAGCAATTTCTGGAATGCAGTAAGTACTCCTTTGACAGTAGATTTTACTTGTAGAATCCTTATTCATAGCTTGTGCTCTGCTTGTGTATCTGAAAAGGCTAACCTCTTGATCATTAATCCTTTGAGGTTGCATTGGGAGCTCACTTTGTCTTTATATACCTGTCTTGTCCTGAGTATTGCGGAAACGTTTTTTGTTTTTTTTTTAAATCTGTTTTGTGTCCTATTTCTTTGTAGATATTTTTACTGCTACTGCTCTTTTCCATGCATATATCCACAGCAGTCATGTATTTAATACTCATTAAATGTCGCTCCTGTGCCACATGCTCCTTAGACTTTGTATAGGTTCTTTTTTAGTTCATTTTACATGTGGGTATGATATAAATTACCTTAAATGGTACTTTAATTTTGTAAATCCCTTGTATATTAATCTCCACTGGCTTATCTTTAGGGCCTTCTTTCATCCACTACACACAAGAGAATTTAGCATTTATATTTGTGTTATATTATACTCGTTGTCTGTTTGTTATCCTTTTCCCTGTGATTGTAAGCACCTTTACTCAACATACACACCTACAAACACAGAATACACACGCATGTGCTTGCATGCGCACATACACATGTGTACATCCTGTGTGTATTTGTGTACATTTACGTGCGTGTGTACTTGGGGACTTAATAGTCTGAGAAGATATTTTAGTGTACTCACTTTTAGGGAGTTGTTGATTGTTTCATGTGAGTCGTTTTCAGCTTAGTAAAACATTGTTGAGTCTTTTACCAGGTACTGTTCTGGGTACTGTACATGCAAAGATGAATAAGACAACTTATATAAAGTAGTTTACTTTTATGAAAATGGTCATTTTCTCTGGTCACCCTGTGGAGAAGCAAAGGGAAGAATAGGAGTCCTCCCAGGAGAGGAGAATGTTGTAAATGATGAGATGATTCAGAAGAGTATGATTATAGGGAGTAGTTGATGGACTGATGGACACTATTCTGAATATACAAAATTAATTAATTATGCCAGGGAAATTTTCTGAAGAAAATGGTCAGAAAATGCAGGAAAAATAATGAGTATGTTACTCTTTGAATGTTTTGTTTTTACCTACTTTGCTTGTAAATTTCAACTATGACTAATTTAGATTTTGAAAATGTGATTGGTAATTCATGGATAAAATTGCTACTTCCCTTTCACTTTAACATGAGCTCAGTTTGTATTTTAGGATTAATTTTGTGAAACATGGTACTGGGGATGACTGTTAAGTACTTGTAAATCTTTTAAAAAACTTGATGATTAATTTTTTAGAGTTGGGAAAGCACAGTAATGAATTTTAATGCAAAACGTACAAAAATATATCTTGACTATTTTTGTGAAAGGTTTTGTCATTGTTTTGATTGTGAATTAATGGAGTATTATAAACTTGTACTAATATTTGAATTGTATTTTTAACAGGTAGAAATATAGGTACAGATAACGTTTGTAGAGATAGATTGGAAAAGACCATCATTCTTTTTACTAAAGTGGTAAGTTTTCTTTTTATTTTAAGTATGTTTTCTTAAATAAAATACATGTACTCAGATTTAAGAAGGAGAATGATGTGAGCATACATTCTTTAATGTGAAGTAAGTTGTTTTCTGACTATTTATAGCAAAGTTAAAAAAAACTACTTTGAAGTATTTAGCATGCATGTAATAATTAAATTTATATGCCATAATATCAGTTATAAGTCACTTTATTGTAAAAAAAAATCCTAATATTAGAGAAGTTCATTTCTCTGAAGTTTCTTATTCTCAAGCCTACTGGATAAAAGCAGAGATAAAGAAGGTACCAGTTGCAGCTGAGCAGGAACTAGGTCATATGTAACAGGCAATGTAATATCAGGAAGTCACTGTATTCAGAATGACAGATTATCATCGTCAATATGAAACATCTTTTGAATAGAATTATATGGGTGCACTTGTGCTAGGCAATGTGTATAAATTTCTGATAAAACAAAGTTTTATGGAAACTGATTTTTATGAAATTTTGGCCTGGGGATGGTTGAGAGAAGTACATAGAGTTGGGAAGACCTGGTTTGAGGACTGCATTGCACTAAAACCGGCCGTTGAAGAGAGGTAGCACTATCTAAACTTGTAGCCTATTTTCCCTTTTTTCCTGAAGCTTCATTAATAGGATTAAGGTTGTCTGTTCCCCTGGGAGTAGAAAAAAGGAGTAGAAATGAGCTGTTCTTATGTCTTTGGTTAAGTTGCAGTACCTTTAGTTTCAGTTCTCCTTATTTCCCACAGTTAGGTCCTAAATAGCCTCAACAGCAAAAGCCTACCTAATCTTCCAAGAGCCAGCAGGAAATTGACTCAGGTAGTTTAAGTTAAAAACCAAAAAAAACACAAAGCAAAGTAAAATGCCATGATGTGGTTAGTCAGTGGATCTGTGCAGTGTTCATAAATAATTTCATTTATGAAATTCACATTTATAATGTCTGGCTTTATTAAAGCTTTACAAATTGGAACATTTCAAACATATTTGAGTCCCCTTGAGGTCATCCCTTAGCTTCAGGAATTATCAACATATGTTGAAAGTTAGCTGTTTTATCTGTATACTTCCTCTCCCTCCCCTCCTTGCTGGTTTTTAAAAAGCACATCTCAGATATCCTATTAGTATTATCTATAAATATTTGAATATATATCTTTAAGTGATTAGGGGTTTAAAGTAACCAATCTAACACATTTAAAAAGTAGGAATGACTTTTTATTATCCTCTATTTAGCCAGTTTTTAGATTTTTCTCAATTTTTATTTTTATTTTTTTTTTAAAGATTTTATTTATTTATTTGACAGAGAGACACAGA